ATAATAGGTGGAGGTGGGGCCATATGTAAGTATTGAAGAATTTCATTTTTAGGTAGATGAAAAGAGGAAATTGTCGATGAATGTACTTCAAAATCGCATAAGAGCGCCTAAGTTTTACAAGTTGGGCGTTAATCATAGTCCCAAAAGCTAACTGGGCATCCAGAAAAAATCCTAGATATTTAAAACTTTTCTTCTGCGCTATCTGTGCACCTTGATACAAGATGCATAGCTTTGGACATTGGCCACCCTTGTGATAGATAACCACTTCCGTTTTTACAGTATTGACCGGTTGGTGCCAGTCCTCACAATACATACTCAGGGCGACCATGTCTTTGTTAATGCGCTTTTCCATTTCCCTAACCTGATCACGCCGATTCAAATAGATGCATGGAGAGTACAAAAGCCCTAAATCATTAACGTACAGGTGACCATCGTCTGACTTCGTCTGACAATCTAGCATTATCCGTGACTCCCATAGTTTCTTTAGTGAGTTCGATAACTAAAGAAAATGAAACGTGCCAAGATTTACGACTATCGATGACTCCGATAATTTCTTAAGTGAGTTTAATTGGTAAAGAAAATGAAATATGCCAAGATAAAGCATTATCCATGACTCCTAGTATTTCTTCAGTGAGTTTAGTAACTAAAGATCAAATGTGCCAAGATTTACAACTATCGACGACTCCCATAGTTTCCTTAGTCAGTTTAATTGGTAAGGAAAGTGAAATATGCCAAGATTTAGCATTATCCATGACTCCCATAGTTTCTAGAAGGAAGATTCAAAGTTATTCTAAGTAGGAAATTATTCGCACTTATATACAAACAGCAGTGTAAAACAAAACGGTAATTGAAGAACTTCCAAGATCTTGGGTATAAGATTCAATCACCCAATATCGTGATAAGTTAAGAAATTTTAAGACGTTCAAGGTCTTGGATTCTTGAAATTTCTTTAATTTCCTACGATTTACTACCAAGATGTTGGGTGAGCATCTTACTAAAAATATTGAAGGAGTGGAAATTTTGACTCAAGAAATTCCGCTAAGGATGAATTTCTACTAAAAAGACTCCTTTAATAATGAAAAAAAAGTCAAATCTTTTTCTTCCACTGCTATTTACCATTTCTTATTCCGTTCACAATTAACTGACGACGATTAGAGAGGCTCAAGATTACACTATTTTCCTTAAAGTAGATTGTAAAGTATTGTTTTGTAACGTGCTTCTTTTATGCTCTATTCTAATCTCTTTCTCTCAACTATGATAAAAAACGGTTCTTTGTCTCTCACACTTACAATTTTGTCATTTAAATACTTTGTTCTCTCTTGCATTAATTGTTTTTGATTTGTTTCCGCCGATATTTTTTTGACTTCATCACTATGATGACTTCATGACTATGAAGCATCTGAATCCGCAGGTGCAAGAATTCCTGGCTCGGAATCCGGAACCATACCCAACTAATTAAAATATGTTACACCCGGATCCGATCGGTTAAATTTTTAAGGATCCAAACCCAGACTCGTACTCCATCGGTAAAAGTTTCTAAAACTGGGCTCACATCCAGACTCGGTAAACGCGAAATTTTCAGACCCGAGCCCGACGGGCTGTATGCTTGACCGCAAGTTTAGTTTGCGTAGAAACGTTATTAAAATTAGGAATGCAACAGTGACGTTTAACCAGCACACCACAAGTGCACCAATCTATAAATGTTCCCCAATACTGGTGCACTCTAGAATACTCTGAGAAAAAAAAGGTTTTCAGAACCGTTTTTAGTTCTGACTTTTACCCGAATCCAGAATCCGCTAAAAATAGTTCTGTACGCGGAAAAAAGATTCTGGCGCTCTCTACGACACCTTTTTTTCGTGTACAGAATCATTTTTAGGGGATTCTGGATTTGGGTAAAAGACAGAACTAAAAAGGTTCTGCAAACCTCCTTTTTTTCCTCAGAGTAGGGATGTACCAAATCCAATTCTTAGCTTTCATTGAAGTTAGATTTGAATTTGACAGGAATTGACATAGATTTGACTAGATGCGACTAGGAGTCATTGCGCCTAAGCCATGACCACTTTCAGCAGAACGTTGCTCAATTGATCTCACCGATTTGGCTAATTCTTTTATACTGGGTAGATGTAGTAAAGTTAGCAAGAAACTCAAAATGTCAGCTCAAACGGATGAGTCATTCTGAAGATACAGACGCTCCAAACATAGAAAGGAGAGGGTTTGCTATATGTAGAGTACTTTGTAGTGCAGTACTTTTCAGTAAATTTCCATTTTCTCAACAACGACAAGAATTATAAAACTGATTGGTTTTTTAACCATAGATATTATCGACGATGGGCTACCTTTTAGTGGTATCGAGAGTACGTTATCCCCGAAATTTTAATGGGTGGTATTATATGCCATTGAATGTAATGCTCTCCGCCAAAAAGCATTTCATCGAAAGACCCGCAGAACGCTCTAGACCGTTGCACGCTCTTTAATTCGTACATAGGTTTGTTAAGCTTGAAGAGGTTAACTCATTTCGCCCTCACCCACATTTCGACCGTCAGAAATGGTGTCTTAAACCGTCTGAAACGGCTACAAACCGACGTATCACGGTGACGTTTTAGCGCTGTTTTATACTGTTGTTCACGGCGCCGTGATTTTCTACCTAATATGGACTTTTAAGCTATTTTACGTACTATTTCTAGAATTTTGACTATAGGTTCGTCATTTCTCGATGAAGTTTGTAACTTTTTTTTCTATCAAAATGATCAGTGGTATAAGCTCTGAAAAATGTGGTATAGAAGAACACTTTTTGAATACTTTGCCCTTTTTTTGTTTGACTACCCATCGAACCACCCTATAACATTTTAGGGCGTATAAGGGACTGTTCCCTGTAACTATATAAATCAATATAAAGTTTCTTCTCTTCCTTGATCGTTCTATATAAAGCTTACTAGGGGTGATCCATATCACTTTGTGGGAGTTCACTATGGGATAATCTGTATATCGTTTTTCGGACTATTATTACACAGCGTTACACATACTGTCCCAAAATAGGCCTTAAGAAGTTACCAAGGATGCCCAGCTCAGTAATTCTCAAAAATTTGTTAAGGGTATTCCTGGATAGCGCTTTAAAAGTATAAGGGACTGTTCCCTGTAACTATATAAAGCTTACTAGGGGTGATCCATATCACTTTGTGGGAGTTCACTGTGGGGTAATCTTTAGATCGTTTTTCGGACTATTAGAGGTTCGTCCACGTCAATAATTAAGGATTACTGAAAACCCTACAACTTTTTAGAACCTTCTAGGAAATGCTCAACATAGCTTGTCTGCATTTTCTTGACCTTATCTCTATACCATTGTGGGGCTGCTAAAAGGTGGCCCCTGTGGCTTTTTTCCCCCTATTAGTGGATGGTCCTTGAGATCTGGTTGAATAATACCAAGTATGTTCTCAACAAGTTTTCCTCGCCTATCATGAGTTGATCCTGATAAATTTTTGAAATTACTTAGGGATGGTGCAAATAACTTCTCCCGATGCTATTAGTGCTGAACATTAAAGAATTCTGAAGTCTACGTGTAAATGGTCGTTTTAGCCTTTTGGAGTGCATCTGATGATAGTCTATCAGAAGCTGCATGTATTATCTCTAGATACTGATGAAAACATATAGCCACATTCCACAGATATTTTCCAAAACAGTTATCAGTTCTACTCCCTGGCAAACCTCCAGTAAAAGATAGAGGCGGGATCCCAACAGATTTCGAAGAGTTATGGAAACTATACTCCAAGATGCGTTATAAAAGTTATACGAAGGATTTTCCGAAAGACTCAAGAAAAGCATGATGATTATTCCCCGAGAAGCACGAAACTTAATAGAAAAACACTTTCTTTTCAGTTGTTTCTTATGCATGAGCGAAATTACTCGGAAAACACGAAAAATATGTCTTGTGTTTTTACCCATAAGTCTTACAAACATAAGATTTGAAAGAACACGTTATATCTCATTATGAGGCCCTTGAATTCTGCATCTTTCTATATACAAACTATCCCTAATCTCTGTCTATAGAAGAAACTATAATCATTTTTGTATCACTATAGGAAAAACGTCGAGATATCTGTCAAGTATTTATCGAATATATTTACACAGGCACACTTTTAAAATAATGCTAAAGTATAAACGGTTAATATGAGCTTGATCTGTGAGGTAGCCGATGTTGTCTCTCATCGACCCCTGTCCTTTTTATGATCGTAAAACATAGATATGTCAAGTTCGTAGCGTCTTGTTTTCCTATTGTTAACAGAAGATAAGAACTAATATAACATTCTTTATTATAGCTTTTTTTCCTCTGTTGAATGTCGTGTAGGAAAAATATAGGAAGTAGAAAATTTCTATATCATTTTTTTCTAAGAGTTTATTATTTTTAAGAAAAAACAAAGAAATCTATAAAAAGCAAAAATAAATTTGACTCTATATATACAAGTGTTTCTTATCTCGTTCAGAGTTTATAGATATTTGCCAAAATATGTTTGATATTATTATTTTTAATAAAATTTTTAAAAAATAAATATTCAATATCACTTGGTGTGATCTCTTTTAGAATGTTTAATAATTGTAATAATTTAACATGTCGTAATGGTGGTGATGGAGATTGTATTTCATACGGTGACTGATGCAATGGTGTTGGTTGTTGAATATAATTCATTAACATGGTCATGGCTTGTACACGATAAATATCAATTGACAAACGTTCACGTACTTCTTTTGCGTCTGAAAAATAGTAGAATAAATAAAAAGTTATATTTTAGGAACTAAACCAATGACATGGATGTCCTACCTGCTTTAAATATAACAATTACTTTCAATAGCATATATTCCATTTTATCGACTGAGTGAAAATAAAACTGATTTAAAATTGTTTGAATCTTATTTAATGTTAACATTTTTCCATTACAATCATTAAACAACATTAATATATCTGAAATAGAATAAATAGTACACGTATGTGGATATATATGAAGAGAGGCAACTATTTTAAACAAAAATTTGTAGCTTATGATTACATACTTTCATCAACGAGCATTTGATGTTCCGCGGCTGTTATTAAAAATAGTTCAGACCATGATTCTTGTAATAATGTTAATTGATCAGAGTCGGGTAGTTGAATAAATGATGGAATTGTACGTGCCCATCGAATTGAAGCAAATAAAATATATGTAGCTCGTTCATAAATACTATTAACTATTGACAACTGAGTTGTTGTATCTTTAAAATAAAAATATTTTAATTCTATATTATTTTGAAATTTTACAATATTTTACCGAGTGATGTATTGATGATATCTGTACTATCATCTTTGATAATATTTGATAAATCTGTTTCGAATGAATGATCATCAGAACTTTCACCATTACTATATTTTGAAATATTGTGAAATTGAGATGTTAACGTTTTTGATACTGTTGATGTTACATAATTATTCCATATTGGACTATTAGTATAAAAAAGAAAAACGATAATTAGAAATAAAAATCTAGTACAAACTAGAATAAAAGAAAACTTAAAGAAATTCGTTTTTGTTATAATTAATAGATTGATTATATTAGTAATTTTAATAGGGAATCATTTTAATTACTTACATTTTATTTGTTAAATCTGTTATTGAACTATTTTCATATCGATCTGATAATAATGATTTTTCTATGTTAGATACATACCCATTGGATGAGGAAAATGTTTCTGTTACGGTTGCTGCTGCTGCTGCTGCTGCTGCTGAATGTGTATGAGGCCAAAATTGCATTGTATTTGTAACCGGATATAAATGATAGGACGATTGTCTCGTTTTTGTGGTTGAACAATTTCTTGGTGCTCGTTCATGTTGAACAGCTGAAAATTTTATTTTTTTAGTATAGTAGAGCACGTTTTTAATTGAGTTAAAAGTCTTCTTCTTTATTAGATATTTATTTGAACAAACAGTAAATGTCAATACATTCAATGATCACTTAAAAAATATTCATCTGAAGTATGAATAGTTTTACTCCTCCCCTAATCAATGTAGATCTCATAGTCTATACTCATAGTCATTTTGTCGCGCAAGAAAAAAACACATATGTTAAAATTCACAAACGAGAGTAGAGAATACAAAACTGTTTACTTATCAGACAACTCAGAAAGATTATCAGATACGACTATATAGTAGACAAATCGGCACAGACAGACGCCACGATCAAGTTTATATTAGTTTAAAAAAAGAAAAACGATTGTATACCGGGTGTTCCAAAATGTTTGCAACATTCTTTATTTTTCACATATCTCAGTTAAGAAATATGATAAAAGTTCTTTAATTTCTTTTTTCAGAAGATATGTCATTTAATTCTCTACAAAGAATATATCGAACATTTTTCTATATAAGAGACTATGGACGAAATACTGTGAATATTGCAATCTCGAGTACTTCCTAGTCCAAAAGACACTAGGAAACAAATCTCTTTTGAGCATGTTGACGTATATCAAAGTGGAATAAAATATATGTTGTGGTATTTTGTGAGTGTCGTCTTTCTGTTTGTATATCATAGGCTCGCTTTAAACGTGTTTTTCTTGAATAAAAAGCGATTCTATCAAAACTGATCCTAAACACGAGAAAATTTGACTTTTTCGTCTTGGCACAGTAGACGTAACGGAGATGTAGAATTTTTTTCTTTCGAATGTAAAAGCAGAGTTATTTTTCTTCAAAATAAAATAAATTCGCTCTTAAAATGTTCCATTTTGGCGCAGTTAGAAAAATTTTCTCTGCCTGAAAACTTTGAACTGAAATGATAATTTCTGGCAAAAAAAAAACAAAATTCACTCCCAACCGCTTGGGATGCCAAACAATTTAAAATCTCACGAGTGAATGCAGTTTTTTGAGTACTACAAAATAGCTGTCTCCTCTTTTTGTATATCACAAAACGGAAGGAATTAAACTAAAAAATCTTTTTTGGACTTGAGATTGTATATTTGCAGTTTTTCCTCCATAGTCTTTTATTTCTAAGTTCTATAGGAAAATGTTCAATATATTTTTTGTAGAGAATTAAATGGCACATCTTCTATAAGAGAAATCAAAATTTTATCATATTTCTAAGCTGAGATATGTTACAAACATTTTGTAACACCCAGTAGGTCTTCGACTTTCTCAACTTCATTAAATTAAGTAGAGACTATTTTTCACTCTATGTTCAGAGTAGAACTGAAATATATAGTTATTTTATACTATTCTCTCGTCTAGTATAGTTCGAATGAGATCATGTCTTACCATCTTTGTTCATTTTCATTGCTAAGCATTTTTTCAATCGACACGCTTGACACTGATTTCGACGATTGAGATCAACTGTGCAACGTCCTTTATCTTTACAAACATATTTTGTATTTCGTCTAGTAGAATAAAATATAAATATTGAATTTTTTCACTAGCGGACAACGTTGCCTACCTGATACTTCGTTTAAAAAATCCTCGACAACCGTCGCAACTCAATACACCATAATGTTTTCCACTAAAATAAAAAATTGATAGAGACGTTCTTGATATACATTACACTTTTAAGAAATTTACCTTGCTTTATCGCCACAAACAGAACACAACGAGAGTATTCGACGTGAAACAGAAACGATAGGTGATGGAACTAAATTTTGAGATGTTAAAGATTGTTTTGGCCATGATATTTGTTCAACATTATCTTCGTCATTTGCTATTGATGTTGATTCTTTGGAAATGATTGATGCGACACTGTCTAATAAATACAATGAGAAGGTAAAACTAATATTTGAAAAATATGTACGTAAACTCTTGTTCTATTGGAAAAAATTTGAATTTAGAGAAAATTCAGTACGAAACCATCTCTTGTATAGGTTTTCGACGATTAGATTGTCAAAGAAAATCATGCCTGACCACTTTAGAGCAGAATTTTAAAAAAAATATCGGTATGTCTAGCTCACTAACTGAAAAGTTGTTTTTATTAGAAATCGTTGGCGGCAAAACTGTATCTAAGAAATATAACGTCCCAATTGATAATAGTGTTCATCAATAATTACACATACTATTTATTCATAAATGACAGGGTAAATTTAACAGACTAGTATCGATTTGAAATGTATGTGTTTTACAGTTCAATTTATGTTGAACAAAAAGTCATTTAATTACTCTGCATGTATATCTTCTCTTTCTCTCTATTTCAGCTAATCTAAGTGCAATAACCTTATTTATTAGTCAATAGAATTAGCCTCATATATACATAAAACTCAAACGGTGACAATTCAATTATTGCATAATGATTACTTGATTCCCGATGTGTCTATGTTCACTTTCTTTTCTCTTCTCTCTTTTATCTTTTATATAGAAATATTTTGCAGCTTTTTTGAGTAAAGAAATATAGCTGAGAAAAATGATGTCAAAGTTTATAACAAAAAAAAGAAACTGATGATCATAAAATGGATTACAACGACATAATTAGAGATAAAAAGACGTCTTCTTGAAGAGTGTAAACAGTTTTATTAACAGAAAGGTTTATTAACACACAGAGATTTATTTTTTCATTAGCTGTTTGAAATATTCTATCAGTTATATTTTACATTTGGCACTTTCCTCTCATGAACATAGTGACAAAAATATCATGATGAACTACAACGATTCGAAACATAAAGCTGTTAAAGGAAACTTTTTAAAAAGGATAAGTTCAACTATTAGAATGATCTCAAAGATAAAACATTTGTCAAGAATAGATTATATATAGAATACTATACAACAAAAGAAGTGTATTTATTTAATTAACTGATATTCAATTTCTCCAGTTTCGAACTGATCTCGTTCTATACAGGACTCACATCCTTTTGATGTAAATTTTATTGAAGCTGTTAGTTAGGTTATCAATCGTTAATATTCAAATTCACATGAAAGTACTTTAGATTCTGATAATAAGACATCTCGAACAGTAATTATCCAAATCTCAATGAATATATTTTGACTTTTCTTTTATGTTGCATAATACTTTTAAATATTGTATGTTTCTTTTTTTGAGTATGTGATCCGTATACAAGTTGTACATTAATAGTATTAACGATAATTATTTCTTTCGTTAAAAAGTCTGTCTATTGACTATATAATCGATATTGTTTTTAACTGATCTTATAATAACTCAACTGTTGTTTTTTTTCATTTTAATTGTTTCAAGTGTTTTAATGCGACCTTTAAACAACACTACTATACATATCCACAACAATTATGTCACCTTGTACTAACTAACGCACACACACCTTATCTATTGTTATTTTAAAACATGTTACGAAAAGTTGTTTATTTAAAATATTTTGGCACAACGATTGTAATGATAAGATATTTTGGAAGAAACGAAAACAAAAGGATGAGAGTGTGAAATTCTTTTCAAAAATGCGTTTTATGTGAACTATTTTAAAAAAAAGGCATTCCTTCCTCAATATACTTACACTCACACACACACCGATGGTATATTGTAGAAATTTCAAGAAGAGATAAGAGAATCGTATACAGAGAAGTTAATTAAGGATATTAAGTTAGATATGAATGATGATCATAATGTATACGTTCAATATAAAAATTTATGTACACTAGAAAACTCTGTCATCCACTCCTTTCTCCTTATTACCATTTAGAAGATTTGGGATCTCATAACGAATCACAACTTCCATCTTATGAAAAAATATTCAATAAATCTGGGATTATTTCGTTAAAGTAGTCATCTATTAGACTTCAGTATAAAAAAATGAAGAATATTCTAGATTTCTGTCAGCAACAAATTGCGGATCCCTAGACAAATGGCGATTGAAAGATTGTTTACTAAGAATTTGAGTAGCACTAATACATTCCGAACTATATAGTTGACTGGTCTATTACTGCACTTTTCTCACATTGACAAGTGTTTCTTATTCTCTAAAGATAAATACTCTATTAACAATGAGTACACACACCCAAAGATTTTTTATCTACTTACACATATTAATGTTTTAATCTAATTTTTTTGGTCGATAGACATTCACTATGTTTGCTGTTCAATACTATACGATTCAATTACGTGCTTTCTCTATCAAATGAACAAGTTTAATAAATATATAATTTGATCATGTTGTGATACTAATGCTAGCTCTTTTATTTATTTTAATATTTAAACGTACCAATGAAAAATAATCTTAGTGAGAGCCAATAACAATATTCTATTTCATACCGAAAAGAAAAAAATACCAATAAAACGTTTCTCTATAGTCTAAAAGAAGAAATGTCATATTTTTCTATATAAAATTGAAATTAGAAAATAAAAAGAAAGTGTTAAATTAAAATCAGAAATTATTTTTTTGCAATAAACTTCTTTTTTTTACTAAGCCGTGATATTGTTGACGTTAGTTTCTGGATTATTGTTACTTTAGTGACTGATAGGGCGAAGAAGTACACACTCTCGCTCCCAAGGATGTAGAGGGAATGCCAAAAAGATAGCTTGCAACAGTAAGAAGACATAATAATATGAGATAAAATAAAAGTTTTGATTTGGTTAGTTTAAGTTCATTTATCGTAGAATATCATTGATCGAACTAGATATACACCAGTTCTAAGAACTGACGTTTGGACATTCCGGAAAATTTTTATTACTCGGTAATTAAGAGTCGTTCAGAGTTGGATAACATCTCATTTTGTAGAGAAATATGTTTGCTCTACCAAACTCACTGGTCCAAAAACTTTTAAAATTAACTTTAATGTTGAAAATACAAGTATTGAGAAATACAGGAACTGTTAGGTGAGTAGTTCCGACAGTTCCACTGTTTTAGATGGAACGTACTTTTGGCACAGTTAACCCAGTGGTGGATTTAGGGTGCTGGTGGTACTGGCAGCCGCCAGCATCGAAATTTTTGATTTCATACTATTATATTCTCCTTCTAATAAAGGAAAAAGAAGTAGAAGTCCTGTCGTCTAGAAACTCCGAAGCAAAGTTGCTAAACTTGCTATTTTGTACAAATCTACCCACACTGAAAAGTTTTTCTAGATTCGCCACTGAATTAATCTTACATTTTGTCTGGCTCAGTGAGTTTGTTAGAGCAAATATTTCTCTACAAAATGAGATGTTATCCAACTCTGAACAACTCTTAATTAGCGAGTAATAAAAGTTTTTCCGGGTGCCCAAACACCAGCTCTAGAACTAGAGCATACCTAGATCGAGGTTAGTATTACAATACTATCTCCAAATCGATGAAATGTCTGCCATCTTATCGACTTTTTCATATTCATCATTGTTTTTATCTAGTTTACCTAAATTGATTCATATGAAAAATCATATTTTTTTAGTTGTTCTATGATTAATTCCCGTTTCACCTAAAAACTACGAGTAGAGGAGTTTACCGATGTTGATTATCACGAACACACACGGTTTGCTGATCAAATTATATGTTATAAAACGTTCAATGTCCCACGTCGTTAAGGCGACAAAATTGAGCAAAAGAAAGATGATTGCTGTTCACTGTCGAATCACTTAAAATCTGCCACCATGAGTGTTTTTTTTACTGTTATACGACTAATACCACCATCTCAGCTATAGTCTTTCCAGTTAAGGACCCTCATATCAGAAACCTATTTCGGGAGCCATACACCCGATCCACAGTAGGGAATTTTGACTAGGCATGTGGACATTGGACTATGAAGCGCTGGAAAGATATCTCAGATATGTTTTTGTGGGTTTTCGAGCATACTCTTTCTAACAGAGTCACTTACAAAGTTCAAAACTCATGTCTTAAGGGCTTTCCAGAGATCCGATCTATAGAAAACCTTTGAAAAACCAGTTTAGAACTTTTTAAATAAGTCCATTGAATCAGCCGTACTCGGGAACCTATGAAACAATTATTTGTAGGCTTCCAGATCTCTTTCCTAACGATATAAAAACCACCGGTCTCAAACACTACGGTGCTGCCTCAAATTTAGCCTTCCACGGAAACTTCGAATTTTTTTCCAAGAAAGTGCTGTAAATTATATATCATTCGATGCAGTTTTTCACGCTGATTCGTATGTTATTATTGTTGAAAAAAGAGTGAGTGTAACCTGAAGAACGGGCGAAAACCCTGTGGAAAACGAGGGCTTTTGTAAAATCTGTCTCAGCTTTCAGAATATGTTTGTTTAAATTCTCAGAAAAACTAAACCTAAATAACTAAGATAAAACTTCACCGATCGTGCGTGAAATACATGTGTTTTTGTGACTCATTTTTTCGACCAATACGAAGTCTCAGAACAAAAAGTTTTTTACCAACAGATAGGACATTTGTTATTGTATACGTACCACTATTCAAAATTTGGAAAATCTCACTTTCGATTTTCCATCTAACGTTGGCTTGATTGCCCACTGTGCGATCCTAACGAAAATTTCAGCGATTGTTAGGCCTAACATGAAATTTTTACAAATAAAATTCTAAGCCTCCTGGTGTAAGGGTTCCGGGTCTTCAAGGATCAAAACGGGGCTTTCAGTACTTCCCAAAAAGTTTTGCTCAGATAAGTGCTAGAGAGCTCGGATTTGCGTTATTCGATGCCGAACACAGACAGCTAGGGCTTAACAGAGTTGGAATTTTCTTTGCTGCTGATTTTTAATAACGTTTCTTCTCAAAAACTCGAAAAATTCCTTGAAGTTTTCCGGAAAACCTTGTTTTATTAACAATCTAAAGGCTAAATCAAAGATCAGGCTTTGCCAACCCATAACTATAACTATCTCCTGTAAATAAAAGAAAAAGATAAGTCTCTACGACCTGTAACGAAAAATTCTTGAAAGTACTGGACGCCGTCAGCGCAAAAATCTATTTAGAAAATGAACGAAGGAAAAATACTAGACGCATTTGCTGCTTATCGTAAAATTCTAATAACTTATGATAAAAGAAGAGCTGGTAAACATTTCATTTTGAAGAGAAATCTTTGGGGAAAGTGATGACCTCATTCAAAAAAAATTTAAAAGTATTTTAACGGAGGAAAGTAATAAATTTTAAAAACCGATTTTTTTCAAGGTTTTTTGAAAAACTTTTCAAAAATCACTAAAAAGTTTCATCCCTGTTTTTGTCTTATCAAATGAGAATATAACTTTGTTGTGCCTCATCTTGCAGAGAAAAGTCTGCTGAACATTCTTATGCATTCTAAAAATATATAGAATAAGTAGCTTTGAAGCTAGATTTTATTTTCAATAATTTTCAAATACTAGATGCAAGAATTGGTGTATAGTCAAGGCTAATACACTGTAATCTTGAATTAATTTCCAGTTTATAGAAAATCGACCGAAAGATCGCTGGGGATTTTCTAGTTTATAGAACATCCGCGACGAATTTCCAGCTTTCTAAGAAATGCTGATTTTCTAGTTTATAGAAAATCGACTTGAATTTCCATAAATTCGATTCTCTATAAATAATTTCCAAGAATCTGGAAATTTGCTTTTGATCTTCTATAAACTAGAAAATCCGCGACGATTTTCTAGAAAGTGGAAATTCGCCCAGGAATTTCTAGGCCAAATACTTATTCATCTTTTTGTTTTGCAATGAGTGTAGGTATTGGAGCGTCATGTAAAGACACTCATATT